CTATCTATCTATCTATCTATCTATCTATCTATCTATCTATCTATCTACCTATCTACCTATCTATCTATCTATCTATATATCTATCTATCTATATATATCTATATATCTATCAAGCTGTTAGTAATTCAATAGGTTTTGTCACCAAAAGTGTTTTCTGCCTAAACTGGAAGGAATAAATCTAACCAATAACATTTGCCTTATAACCAGGGCTTTTCAATTGGAGGCCAGTGGGCCAAATCAGGCCCACGGGTGAACTCAGTTTGACCCACTAGTGGGTTCAATTTTTAAATAAAACTAGATTTTAAACCATAAGAAAAACGTACTTAATGACAATAACTGCTGGATGTCTGGTCCCTGAGTTCTTGGATTTCTGTAAGTGTGGCCCCCTGAGTAATTTAGTTGGATAGTCCTGCCCTAGACCCTGGTTAAGAAGGATTTTTATCTAAATCAAAAAAAAAAAAAGATGTGTTAAAGTTTAAACATTAAACTAATGTCACGTTGACACAAGGAAGTAGATTCATTGTTCAAAATTATAATTATGAACTTGCACAGTGATTATGAGCATAAAACTTTCACTAGTTTAATCTGTTTCAATCTCAATCTGTCTCACATTTCTCTACAAGTGATTTCACACACATCAGCTCTTTTTATGTCCTATAAATAAAAGCACATTTAAAGCACTCCACTCTTTGCGTTTTACAAAACATCTCCAACTCCATTAATTAAAATTAATTAAAATATCACCCCACAATTATTCTCTTGCGCTATTTGATCATTATTGCTTCACATCAGTATATTTTGACATTTGTCCTTTACCTACTCCTCCACTTGTTAGAAAATGACTCACGGTGATTTTTATTTTTCCACAGCTCGCTCAGTCACTATCTGCTTCATCTGGTTTATGAAAGTACCGGTATTTGATGTCAAAGGGATTCACTCGCAGCAGACAACACTGTTTTTCCACTTTTTAAACTACAGTACCATCAGTCCCAGACACATGGTGGTAAAATACCACGCAGGGTTTCGATTAAAAGTTGCCGTAGGATCTGTGTTATGTATCGCTTTACCTCCCCCACTTCTTGTTTTTCCATTTCACCTTAAAGTTTAAAGGGTAGGCAGAAAAAGCACAAAAAAAAAAAAAAAAAAAAAAATCACATTTTACAATTAGAATTACTCTCTGCTACTACCACATCGGAATTGATGTCAACATCTGCAACATGGACAGGGTTAAAGCTATTTTTGTGTTTAATAAGTTTAATTAGCTGTGGCAGCCATCTTTAATTTGACTGACCTCAAAGGTTCATCAGATGTAGATGAACATCCAGTGACTACGTTCAGAAAGTTTTAGTAAAATAAATACTGTGGTTCATAAGATATTTTACTAACAGACAAACCAGGTCTCCTATAGTTAAGGCTCAACTTTTTAGTAAAAGGTTTGCACAGTTAGTAGCACTTTGCGTGTTATGAGTCACTCTCCACTACTACCACATCAAATTTTAGGTTTATTTGTAATTCTGACTGATTTATAGTAAATTGTCCTTGTTCTAGAGTCGGTTGACTGTGGTGGCCATCTTGAATTGGGTTGAATTCAAATGTTAATCAGTTATAGATGTACATCCATTGATTAATTCCTGAAAATTTCAATAAAATTTGTTCATAAGTTCATTAAATATTTTGCTAACAGACACAGATACTTCAAATTGTTGCTGGCAAAATTATTTAAAAAAATTAAAAATTTAAGTAATTCATTAGCACTTAGAATATGTTTTAGAGGTCTCTCCCAGCCAAAACAAAAAATTGTCAAATTCATTAAGGTTTTGCCTTTTTTTGTGTGTAATTTAAGGTCAAATAGCTGTGGCGGCCATATTGAACTGAGCGGGCTCCAAAAGTTAATCACGTAAGATGTGCAATCAGAGATACGTTTCTGAATGTGTCATGAAAATGTTTCCACAGGTTTGTGAGATATTTTGATAGAAGACAAACACACACACACTGATGTACTTGAATTAAGTCACTTTGGCCGATGCTCTGTTTGTCAAACTGTACGTTGAAAATAATCAAACTTGTCATTAGTTTGTTGAGAAAATCAAAATGCAGTGAGTTCACAGGTTGGGAATGTTTGTGTGCTGGTTGTTAAGTTCACTTTCTCTTTTTCCTACGGTCACAGAACTTGGTTATGAAGTACAAGTCAACACAAAAAGGTAGTTTGCAGCAAACCTTTGTGGACACAAATCTACAAAACAACTCGCATGTTTCAACTACCTTTAGTGAAAATGTACTGTACTGATTTGCTGTTCATTGTTGTTTTTTTTAATATCTATAAAAAAATCAAACAGTTCTGAAACGTATCTTAGAGCAAAACACAACCCATTGCCTTCAAAGCGATATTTTTAATCACCACTGAAAACCGAAAAGTATTCAAAATCCAAACATATAAAACAGTGTCACTAGCATTTAAACTTTATAAAGTTTTACTGCAAACATACAAATAATGACACAATTATGATTCATACTGAAAGCCAGCGTTGAAGTTTGTGTATAGCCAAGTAAGAAAAGTGTATTTTTTAAGCTGATTTAAAACAACTTGACCATAGTGCTGAACGTAAAATAGCAGAGAAATTAAGCTTTAATAAAAAAATAAAAATAAAAAATCAACATAAACAAAATAAGTACTGTAAAATAAAATCGCTCACACTGAATTAAAAGCCAGTGGAAACAAGCAGGTTTTAAGATACGCTTTAAAACAGGAGTCTGTATACAAACCTCCAAACTGCAGCGAGGCTGAAGAAGTATCTGAGCTGAGCAGCTACGACACAAATTAAAACAATGTGTTGTTTATGCATTTCAAACATCTCAAAGAAACGTCGCCACAGGTGTAATTTTTTTTTTTGTGGCACGTGTGTGTGTGGTTCTGCTTCAGCGCCTCGTGTGTCCACACTGTTGTGTCTGTCTGTGTTTGTTGTGGTGAACTGGGGGTGGTCAGGTCGCAGAGGAGTCTTCATTCTTGTGGCGGCTGTGTCTTCAGGTGGACTTGTCCACTGTGGATGTGGGCAGGAGCTTTGATTTTAAAACAGGAAATTGTGGTTTTCCACTTTTTTTCATATGTATGTTGTTATATCATTTCTGTTTCTCTGCATATGAAGCGAAAATTGTGTTTTTGACTTGCTGCTCCAAGCCTTTACTTTTATACTGTCTTAGCTTTGGCCCCCTGTCAATTCCAGAACTGAATTCAAAATCTTACTTCTAACCTACAAAGCTCTCAACAACCTAGCTCCATCTTATATTACAGATCTTACTGTTCCATCTTTTCCTAACGGAGCACTTCACTCTCAAACTGCAGGCTTACTTGCGGTTCCTAGAGCTTCCAATGGGAGACAGATCTTTCAGTTATCAGGCTCCTCTCTTCCAGTTTCTGTCCATGAGGCTGACACGTTGTCCAGTTTTAAGACTGGGATTATGACGTTCCTTTTTATAAATCCCATAGTTAGGGTTGGCTTGGGTTTCCTGAGGTATAACTTTGTTATACTGCTATAGACTTAGACTGCTGGAGGACAAACTGACCACATTTCTTCACTCTGCTCAACCTGTTTTGTATTTGTAATTATTTTTTCTATCCTAACATGTGTTTTTGTCTTTCATGTACACCTGCACCTACATCTGGACCTGCCATTCTGTGTTCATTTGTCCTTCCTGTCCTCTCAAACCCAGCCGGTCAAAGCAGATGACCACTTGTCCTGAGCCTGGTTCTGCTGGAGGTTTCTTCCTTTTAAAAGGGAGTTTTTCCTTTCCACTGTTGCCACTGTGCTTGCTCAGAATGACAGACTGTGATAGATTCAATGAGTCTGCTGGCTTCTTTAGATAGAGACTAAATTACTAATTGGCTTTTCTATGTATGTGAATGTTTCTGGAAAGTGCCCTGAGACAACTTTGTTGTGAACTGGTGCTATATAAATAAACTGAATTGAATTGAATTAGTAAAACTGAAAACTTTATGGCATGAAGTCAAACAGAGTGATGTGTAATTATTAGTTTCCAGCATGTAAAGAGGAATATATCTTTGTTTTAATAATTTAGAGGATCCAAAACCAAGAATCCATTTTTATGTTGTTTAGACTTGATCAATAATTTTGACTTTCACGTTATTTCCTTTTTTTTTGGGGGGGGGGGGGGGGGGTATTGTAAATATGTATTGAAAAAAGTTCAGTCGGCTGAATGTTCCAACCTGCATCTTATCTTTCTCTCATCTCAAACAGTCACATCTAATTGTCTAAATGCACGTCTCAATCCAAACACGATTATTATAGCATTACTCTCGAGCAGATTTTTCCTCCAAATAGTTTATTTGTTCACTCAAAAGGATTATTTTATGAATTTAAAGGTCTAAAGCGAAGGGAATATTCTAGAACCAAGCGGCACCTGTTCAACGGAAGAGCAACATGCTGGAGAAATGAGGCTGTGAAGCAGCTGCAGCTTCCTGTTGTGGCTTTTTGTCACAAGTTTGTTAATCTGCAAGCTTCGAGCAGTCTCTAAGTGTGGGTGTTCAATGCTGAGTGTCTCATCCAGACACACAATTCCTCCCCGCTCCTCTTTGCAGAGCCGTCAGTCCAGAAAGACACCGCTCTGATAAGTTAGTCCTGTTAGAATATCGTCTGAGAAGAGCAGAAACGGTGAGGATTGCACCTTCACGCTCATGCGTTTTTTTGTAATTTGGTTATTAGGATGAACATGTTGGTTAAAGTGGGCAGTGGAAGACGATGGGGCTAGAAATCTGAAAGGTCAGAGGTCATGAGGTGAATTTACTGTATGTAATGTTCTACTGAACAGGTTGTCTCTCTTTCTGTCTCTCTAGTTTTATTGCATTACCTCCATCTGTAGGACTCCAAGACCAGGTCCAGGCCTCACCATGTCCATCGACCCTGCTGTGGACCTGCCTTTCTTCTATGGCAGCATCAGCCGCTCGGACGCCGAGCAGAACCTGAAGCTGGCCGGCATGGCCGACGGCCTCTTTTTACTGCGACAGTGTCTCCGCAGTCTGGGAGGCTACGTCTTGTCCGTCGTGTGGAACCTGGAGTTCCATCATTACACCATAGAGAAGCAGCTCAACGGGACATATTGCATCCCAGGAGGCAAGCCTCACTGCGGGCCCGGAGAGCTGTGCGAGTTCTACAGCAAAGACGCCGACGGGCTGGTGTGTCCCCTGAGGAAGCCCTGTCTGCGCCCTGCCGAAACGCCGATAAAGACCGGCGTCTTTGACAAAATGAGGGAGAACATGCTGAGGGAGTACGTGAAGCAGACCTGGAATCTGGAGGTGAGGTTCTGATTCAAACCTTAATCTTCACAAAGTTCCATTATAAAAACAACTCGTCGTGGAAAGAAAACATACCAAATACAATTTAGATTTAATTTTTAGTAGAAAACTTTTGACTCTGTAGATTTTAAACAAGTTATCAGTTATACTTATTAAGATCACTGTTGTTTTCATGCTTTGTTCTGTTTTTTTCTTGAGTTTTTGCGCTCTTCTTATATTATTTTAGCCATTGATGAATCAAAAAGTTTGGCTCATTCAAGAGATGGTTGCTATGACTTTTATTATTATGTACTTTTTACATCTTTCAAATATTTGCCTTTGTTTATACGTATATCCCCCACAGAAACACATTGTGATCTCGTCAGTTCCTTGAAAAACATTGTTCTCTGCAAAATCTACTTCAGCATATTTGCTCTATTTTGTCTTCTAATGCTACTTTTAGCTTTTTCACCATTCTAGCTTTTAAGCTAACCCTTTGCTGTTTTTAGCTTTTAGCTACCATTCTGCTTCTTTTAGCTTTTAACATCCTTTTACTATTTTTTAGGATATTAGCTATCTTTCTGCTACCTTTACCTAACCTTTTGCTACTTTTAGCTTTGTCAGCCTTATGCATTAGCTTTAAGCTTGCTGTTTATAGTTTTAGCAAACTCATTCATACTTTTGGCTTTTTGCTAGCTGCTTTGTTACTTTTAGCTTTGAGATAGCTTTTTGCTGCTTTTAGATTCTTGTTAGAGTTTTTAGAGTTTTAGCTAGCCTGTTGTTATTTTTAGTTTTTAGCCAACCTTCTGCTGAATTTAGCTAAAGAAGAAGCTGAAGGAGCAGATTTTTTGTAAGCACACCTTCTTATGAGCCTAACTTGTCGTTGCCCATCTTCTGAATTTAAAGTGAGGCTCTCAGAAGTTCCTATCTGTTTTTAGCATCTGCATCCTGCTGCTATTGAGACCAGTATCTCTGTATGGGCTCCATTACAGCAGCCAACCTGAGCTTTGAGTGTATGTGATCACAACCTGCCGCCTCTTCACTTTGTTTATTTCACAGCCTGTCTTGGTGAACAAAGTCAGAAACATGAGCAACGGTTGCTGAGGTGATGTCATGACTAGGCCTGTCGCAATAAACAATAAATCAATTAATCACATGATAAATGAAAATTATCGATCTCATTTTCATTTATCGGCTTTATCGTTTCTTCGTGTCTCTCTCTTTTTACTGAAGACACTGGATGACAAAAGGTTCAACTCCAGTGCTCTTCACTGACCCTTCCTTTTCTCTTTAAAATCTGTTTTAACCGTCCAAAATCACGTTGTTTTTTTTTTTTTTTTTGTTGTTTTTGGATCATTAAAAGCAGCTAAGCTTAAAATCTAAGCTACGAGCTAAGCTAACAGGCTGACCTCGGGAAAAACCCTCCGTCTTGTTGAAGCTCCAAAATTCCCGGTTAAAACCCGTGTCTTCATGTAAAAAATTGTTTTTCTCTGCAAAAAGAAGCTGAGAACTTGTTTACTGATATCCATCCATCCATCCATCATCTTTTACCCGCTCCTTCCATTTTGGGTCACGGGGGTCGCCGGTGCCCATGTCCGGCAATCATTTTTTGAGGGGCGGGGTGCACCCTAGCCAGGTCACAAGTCCACCACAGGGCCACACAGAGATGAACGAGACAAACAATCATTCACTCTCTCTCTCACACCTAGGGACAATTTAAAGTTACCAATCAGCCTAACATGCATGTTTTTGGTCTGTGGGAGAAAACCGGAGTACCCGGAGAAAACCCATGCATGCACGGAGAGAACATGCAAACTCCACCCAGAAAGGTCCCCGGACCGGGATTTGAACCAGGGACTTGCGCACTGAAAGGCAGCAACTCGTGCTGCCTATAACTAATAATTACTAATTATTGTCAAAGTTCAAACAATATTATCGTTTATCGCAATAATTTCTGAGACAATTAATCGCCCAGCAAAATTTGGTATTGTGGCAGGCTTAGTCATGACATGCAGGTTGAAACTAAACCCTGTAGTTCTAACTAATGTTTCTGTGCCTGCTTAGGGGGAATCCATGGAGCAGGCCATCATCAGCCAGGCTCCTCAGCTGGAGAAGCTAATTGCCACCACAGCACACGAGAAGATGTCTTGGTACCACTGGAAAATCAATCGCGAAGAAGGAGAGAGGAGACTTTACTCTGGAGCGCAACCAGACGGCAAATTTCTGTAAGTGGCTCAGCATTAGATTTCTGCTTTTCTGTCTGAACTTTGGTGACAGTGAAGAAGAACAATTCCCTTTTAACGTGAAGAAAACTACTGCAGAACCAGACTCAGGATGAGGGGCCATCTGCATCGGCTGGCTGGGGTTAGAAAGGACAGAAGGACTGGTCCAGGTGTAGTTTGATTACAGTGAGTAAAGACAGCAGCAGAGTGGGGAAATGTGGTCAATTAGTCCTCCAGCAGTCGAAGCCTATAGCAGCATCACTAAGGAATAGCTTAGGAAACCCAAATCAACCCTAACTATAGGATTTATCAAAAATCTTAGTGTGAACAAGGTGTCAGCCTCACAAACAGAAACTGGAAATTGGTTCCACAAGAGAGGAGTAAGATAACGGAAAAATACCTCCCATTATACTTTTGGAAGCTCTAGGAACCACAAATAAACCTGCAGTCTGTGAGAAAAGTGTCCTTTTAGAAAAATATGGAGCAATAGGAGATTATAATGTGTGGGTTAAAAGACTCTTTAACACCCCAGTGTTGAGTTGATCCCTAAGATGTTCAGGGCTCAGATTCACTTTTTTGTGTTTCATCTCCTCAGAGTCAGAGACAAAGAGGGAGCTGGTTCGTTTGCTCTCTCCGTCATGTACGGGAAGACAGTTTATCACTACCAGGTTATCCAGGACAAATCTGGGAAACTGTCCATGCCAGAGGGGACAAAGTTTGACACAATATGGCAGGTAGGTTAATTACTTTAATTTGTCATTGGTTACGCATCTGTTTGCATTTGTGCAAAAATAAAAAGGTTTGTTTTTTTTTTCAGCTGGTTGAATATCTGAAGATGAAACCTGATGGTCTGGTGACTGTTCTCAGCGAGGCCTGCATCAATGGCAAAACTACTGAAAGTACGGTACAGCTTTTCCTTTTTTATCATTAACATTATGAGTTTCTACTTTATATTTATCCCTGCCACGCAGTCCTTATCAAATTATTGCCACTAATCTGTCTTTTAACACTTCAGAGACTCCCAGTCTTCCTGCAACAGTAAGTATTCACTTTATCCTTGTCTGTTTAAGTCTGCATTACTTTCATTCTCTGAGATCTCTTCAACTTTTCTTTCAGAGGAGATCCGGTGCAAATGGATACACACCGCCACCCCGAGGTTAGTCCTTACACCACAGCTGACAGCTTCCTGAACAACTTGATTTACTGCAGCCTTTTCACCCAGAGCTCCATGCTTGTCCTTATGTGGGTTTGTTTAAAAGGAAAACTTAACCCTGAAAATACAAATAACACAAAGACATAATCCGTGGAGCAAGAAAAATCCAAAATATAGAAGCAAAAAAAAAGCAACCTGAAACTAGAGAAACTGTATTTAACACAAAACGGCTGCAAGAATGTTAAATGACTGCTGAAAAAGCTACAAAAAAAAATAGTTGTTAATAGCTCAAATGAGCATAACAGAGGCTACAAGAAACAGAAAACAAGCTGGAAGTTTAAAAGTAGCAAAACGGTGGATAAAATAGCAAAAAATAGGCCAAATTTCAAACAACACAATCAATACTTGTATTAGAAAAACAGTAGCTAAAAGTACAAAACCAGCTACTAGAGTAAAAAAAAAAAAAAAAAAAATTAAACAGTAGCTGAAGTTGGCAAAACAGATGCAAACTTAGGCAAAACTATAGTTGAAAGTAGTTCAACAGATGTTAAAGGTTAAATCAATTCAATTCAGTTTATTTAAATAGCGCCACATCACAACAGAAGTCGTCTCGGGGCACTGAACAGAAATATTCCTATACGGTATATAAAAATAATCTAACACCATTTATCTGAGGAGCAGACTGCGTCTCCATCGCAGAACTCTCATCTTGAGCAAGCATGAAGGCGACAGTGGAAAGGAAAAACTCCCTCATGAGGAAGAAACCTTTAGCAGAACCAGGCTCAGGACAAGCGACCATCTGCTTCGACCAACTGGATTTGAGAGGAACAGATACACAATGGCAGGTCAAGAATCATGTTAATGTAGTAGTACATATACGAGATATATGCATACAATTTTCACGAGTTCCTCATCTTTCTGACTGTGTAAGGTCGTGCGTTGAATTTTAACAGAAATGCGAACGAGAGACGTTATTATCTTTGACCCATCAAATGAATGCGGTCATTTATTTTCAGAATCAAAGTTAACATCAAACATTTACATTAATTTGGCAAAATATGAAAATAATAACAGACAAGTTTCACAAATAATGAGCTTCAATCACGCGGCGGTGATTGAGGACTTTGCTTCAGATATTTCTAAAATATCTGTACTGATTTTAAGAGAAAGCAGAGTTTAAGATGAAATGGAGATTTATCTTACAGAGAGATATGTGAGGGAATTAATCTGTTATGACCAGAACGTGCACGCTCCATCAGATATCAGCTGGCCTCCGGTACACTTAGTCGAAAATAGAACCCTCTACCTGGTTGACGATGGAATCAGCGTCGGAGTAGGTTCCTTTCTGACTCTTTCAGCGTCTCCGTGAGAACTGCCAAACCCTCAGAGAGTCGTGCGTGGTGTTCAAACAGAAATTATAATCCCAAAACGTCTCTGGATCATCCTGAACGCGTCTGCATCCAAGAGCTCTAACTCCATCACTCTGTGCGCTCTCTAGTTGAACTCATTTCTGAGTACAGCAACACAGCAACCAACAAACTCCAGCAACTCAGCGTCTCAGCTTCTTGCAACTCCTTCAACTCTTCAGCCTCTGCATGAACTGGGAAGTTGCCACATTTTAAATGGGTCGACTTCCGGGTCATTTGAGAGCTTTTTGATTGGTCGATGGACCAGAAATAGAGGTGTGGTTTGTGATGTAAGATGTTATCATAAGTCAAGGATTGTTTTAGTGACAACAGAAAGATTATTGTAGGACTTCAGACTTCGTGGAGTCTACACTTATTATCTTCTGAAAAAGTTTAAACATGACATTTTTCTCGGTAAACATTTTAGTTGACCGAAAACCGACCTTTAACATACTTACAAACTTGGCTCATTTCAGACAGAAAATCAAGAAATGCATATTAACCTGATTTCTTCTTTGAATGAGGAATAAAAATCATTACTTACTGTTTATGTAAAATAAAAATGAGTAGTTCTCTTCAACCTGTAAACATTGAGTGAACTAACACAATTTGATTATCAAACATTTGTAAAACAGTGATGATTATAAAAATTGTCTTTTCTGCTTGATTAATTCAAGAAAGAGAGTCACCAGATGGCTCAAACTGTATTCAGATCAATGAAATAACAGTCTCTGTCCATCTGATAGATTTGAGGTCATCAGGGTCAGATCAGGGTCAGATCAGGTTCACTACATTAATATAGAAGCATTGTATTGTTTTGCACTATTGTTGATTAGCGTATATTTTAGATCTTTTAGCGTACCGTTTGGTGTTCGTTTAGCGTATATCTGTATATCTTAGATCCTTATTTACTGTTTCTTTTTACACTTTATATTTTTGCTATTGTTGAATGTAACTGGGACCCTGTGTACACAATTTTGTTCCACCTCATGTACCACATGTGATGTGAATGACAATAAAAAAAACCTTGAACTAGTATAAAATGAAAACTATTCAATTTTAGCAATTAATTTAAGGAAATGAGGTCTGTTTGTCCTCTAGTAGTCTAAGCCTATGGCAGCATAACAAGCCAACCCTAATTATAGGATTTATCAAAAAGGCAAGTCTTAAAACTGGGCAATCAGCTAAAATATAGTTAAATTTAGCTAAACTGAAAGTTAAAAGTAGTTGGAAAAAGTTGCCCGGCAACCCCAAAAGGAAGAAGCGGGTAAAAATAATTGATGCATGGAGAAGGTTGGAAAAAAAACATTTGACGTGCAAATAAATAGATGTGAAAATAACATTAATGACATTAAGTATGTTTTGGTTACTTAATTTGTTGTCGTTTGTTCACTTTGAAAATAAATTTATGAAAGAAATGTTAAATGTCAAATCAATGTTTTGAACATATTTGATTAAATTCTGGGTTTTTAACGATAAATGTCCGGGATTATGTGCCTAAAAAATGACAGGAACAAAATCAATTAAAATGATAGAATGTAAAATATATTTTCAGATCATGGTGTTTGAAGGTTTAACCAATTAGTAAGTAGTGTTCTGACAGAATATTTTGACTAAATAAACAATTAATTTTCCAGCTGCAGCTTTTGCCCTGAGCACAACTAACGCTTCGCCTAAAAATCGTGACATTCTTCCCATGGACTGTGACGGATTCAACCCGTATCACAACCCGAATGACATCAAGAAGTTTAACATCCTGAGAGAACAACTGATGATGGACGAGGAGATAGAGCTCGGCTCCGGGAACTTCGGCTGCGTCAAGAAAGGAGTCCTCAAGACAGAAGCGTGAGACTTAAACATTATTTAAAAAATAAATGATAAAAGACTGCATTTAACTTCTTCTAGATGAGTATAACCTGTACTTCTGCTGTATTCACAAACTTTACTGTTTTATGTGTATTTTGTTGTCAGGGGCCAAATAGATGTGGCCGTCAAAGTGCTGAAGAGCGACAATGAAAAGATGGTGAGGGAGGAGATGATGAGGGAGGCAGAGATCATGCACCAGCTGAGCAACCCTTTCATCGTCCGAATGCTCGGCCTGTGCCACAGTGAGAGTCTGATGCTCGTCATGGAGATGGCTGCTGCTGGTCCTCTCAACAAATACCTCTCCACCAAAAAGTGAGTACAAAGAGAGCCACTGCAGGAGGGACTAAATGTGTGCTTTAAATTACACACCTCTGCTGAAAGTAAACTTACATTGTAAAAGAAAACTGTTGTTTCTGTAAAAAATGAAGAGCGATCGCTGAATGTCTGCTGAAATGTGTTTAATAAAAGGACTCTTTACCCACATTAATCAAGTTTAAAAAAAGGAAAAGAGATGCCAAGATGAGCTAAATAGTGGCTAAAAGCTAAAATCAGCAAAACAGTGAGTAAAACTTCAATTAGTATAACAGTAGCTAAAAGGTAAAGTGAACAAATCTGTTACTAAAAGTTAAAATTAACGAACAACTGTAATCGCTAATTAACAAAACAGTAGCTAAAACAAAGAAACAGCGGGTAAAGATGACATCAACAAAATAGCTAAAAGGTAAAGTTAACAGCTGCAGATGGATGGATGGATGGATGGATGGATGGATGGATGGATGGATGGATGGATGGATGGATGGATGGATGGATGGATGGATGGATGGATGGATGGATGGATGGATGGATGGATGTTACTAAAAATATTAAAACCGCCGCTGAATGCTAAAATTTTCAAAAACCATACTGAAAAGCTACAATTTTTGAAGCTGTAGTTAAAACGTCATTTTTGCAGAAAGGTTACTCAAAACTAAAGTTAGCATAACTGTAGCTTAAAGCTAAAAAACAGTAAAATGGTAGCTAAAAGCTAAAAATAGTAATACAATTTCTAACAGCTAAAAACAGCCAAAAGCTAAAAGTTGTTGAAAAGTAGTTAAAAAGAACAAAAACAGACAAGTATGTTGGACCAGCTGTCAAAGAGATCAAAGTTTTGAAAGATTTTTTTTTTTTAATAATGTAAAAAAAAAAAAATTTAAAGTATAAAAGTAAAAAATAAATATAAAGTTATAGCACAACTCGAACGTTTTGATAAACAAGTGGGTAAAATAGCACAAAGTGTGCAGAAGTAGCTTGACTGCAAGAAAACAAAAGAAGCTATAAACAGGAAAAGAACATTGTGAACGTTGTTGACTCGTCACATTATTATTATTGTTTTTTACTTATCATAATTGACAATAAAAATGTTTCCAGGTCTAATGAGCCTCTGGCATAGGTCATACAATAACCTTTTATTTGAGGAAATGAGACATTGAGGAAGCAGTGAAACAGAAAACGGAAAGTCATGTCTGACATTTATGAAGCAGTTTTCTTTTCATAGCAACTTAATGTGGTATAAGGAAGGATATGTGTCAGCATCATAAATATACCGTCAGTAGAAAGGCACAAGAACAATCTACACTCCATCATGCAGAGACACTTTTAAATTCATTTGGTCCAGTCCCGGTTTTAAATCTTTCTTCTTAAAATTGCTTAATAAGTGCCAAACAAATGAGCTTTGACTTGACGACTGCTCTAAATGGTGATATATTGAAATGAAATATCAAATGCACACTAGTTTTATTAGCTGTGACATCTTATTTATGCAGCACCCTCAAGAACCAAAATCTGTGTTGTACAAATAAAATAAATCTACAGCGTGTGGCCTAATCTTCTGATTTTCCTGGTTTCCGTCCCCGCAGGGATTCTGTAAGTGTGGAGAACATCGTCAACTTGATGCACCAGGTCTCGATGGGGATGAAGTATCTGGAGGAGAAAAACTTTGTGCACAGAGATCTGGCAGCTCGCAACGTTCTGCTTGTCAACCCACAGTTCGCCAAAATCAGTGACTTTGGGCTCTCCAAGGCTCTGGGAGCCGACAACAACTACTACAAAGTATGGGGCCACTGTTTAAAATGTTGCTCCACTTTAACAGCTTTTTAAAAGAATCTTCGGAGTCAGCAATCACGCCAATGTTTTTCTGTTTCTATATTTTTCCAAACTTTTTTTTGCAACTACTTCTGCACACTTTCTGCCATATCTTATCAAAATGTTCAGCTCATTCAGAAGATAGGTGCTATAATTTATTTGTTTTACTTTAAATACATGTACTTTACTATTTAAATATTATCAGAGTCAGAGAGTCAGAGTCAGAGTTTCTTTATTGTCATTCGCACCTCATGTGGTACATGTGGTGGAGCGAAATTATGTACACAAGGTCCCAGTTACATCCAACAATAAAATGTCTAAGAAAAACAGTAATAACATCTAAGATATGAACTAAGAAAAACATCAACTAAATATACACTAAGCACTCGTAACATAAAACATTGAACATCAGCACAAACATGACACAAACAGACATGAGTCTGTGAGCAGATGTGCACGCATGAACACATCAACATTGAAACAGATCAGCAGCAACATGAAACAGATCAGCAGCAACATGATATGGTTTTTCACAGTGATTATTCTAGTTAGATATTCATGAGTCTAACAGCCTCAGGGTAGAAGCTGTTCCTCAGTCTAGTGGTTCTACACTTAATGCTCCTTAACCTCCTTCCTGAGGGGAGTGGGGCAAAAAGTGTGTGTGCTGGGTGGGTGGGGTCCTTCATGATGCAGGTGGCCCTCTTCCTGCATCTGGAGGTGTAGATGTCTGTGATGGTGGGGATTTCTGTGCAGCCTTCACCACTCTCTGCAAAGCTTTTCTTTCTGCAGCTGTGCAGCCTCCAGCCTCCATTATATTTTGTTTACAAGTATTTTCACCATAGAAATACTTTGGTGTCTTCAGTCCTTTTGAAAACTTTGTTCTCTTTCACATTTGCTTCAGCAAACTTGCTCTGTTTTTGGCGTCTTATGCTGCTTATGTATGTATGTATCCTTCATTTAACCAGGAAAATAACTCGTTGAGATTAAAAACCTCTTTTGCAAGAGTGACCTCACCAAGACAGCAGCATAAAACATACAACAAATCCAAAATACAAGAACAAATACATGAAATCCCATAATTACACATTTGGGCAGTTACAGGAGCCAAGTGATCTGATCTCTCGTTCCTTTAGAATTGATTTAAATTGCCACAAGGTAACAAGAAATAACTTTAAATCCTTCTGCAGAATATTCCAAGTGGCAGGAATGAAAGATTTAAAAGCCTTTTTACTCAGTTCAGTTCTGACCTTTGGGACCTGCATCAAAATGATGTCCTGAGAGCGCGGACTATAATGGTTGTTAGTTCTAGTGAACATAAATATGTAGGAAGATGCCCAAGGATGCATTTATAGACAAAAACAGCAAGTGAGAAAGTCTGCGGTCAGTCAAAGAGGGACATTTTGCTGTAGCATACAAAGTGCAGTGATGTATTTGATGTCAGTCATAAAAGGCAGAGCACAAAGATATACAGTATCCAGTTTTTTTCAAAAGCTGGGCTGAAGAGTTCATAAATAGCAGATCTCCATAATCTACCAGTGGCAGAATGGTTTAAATAATCAGGTGCCTTCTGACTTGGTGCGAGAAACACTTGTTTTTAATAAAGAATCCCAGTTTAAGAGTTTAGAAACCAATTTGTCAATATGAGCTTTAAAGGATAGATTCTCATGAGTGAGAATACCTAAATATTTGTAGCACCTGACCACTTCAAGTTCAGCTCCTGGAACAGTTAAGAAGCTGGGAAGGATAGGTGGAAGCTGCTTGCCGTTTGAAAATAGCACAGCCTTTGATTTGTCTGCATTCGAAACCAACTTAAGCCCAGTCAGACAGCACTGAACAGTATCAAGCGCAGATTGCAGCAGTTTAAATGATTGTGAAATGAAGAAGATGAACAATAAATAACCATATCATCAGCATAAAGATGAGATTTAACATCAGGCAAGTTCTTGCACAGATCGTTTACATAAACTGTGAACAGCAAAGGACCAAGTAAGGAGCCTTGAGGCTAGTTGCTTATAGTTGCTATAATTATGCTACCTTTAACTTTTAATTAGGTTTTTGCTATTTTTAGCTTTTAGCTATTACTTTTAGCATGAAGATATTGTTTTGCTGCATTTAGCTTATGACTAGTGTTTAGCTACTCGTCTGCTTCTTTTAACTTTTAGTTGGTGATTAACTCTTTTTAGCTTGTCTTTTGCTTTTTGTGCATTTAGCATTTTACTTTTTGTTGTCTTCTCCTTTCCTCGCATTACCAAAGCAGAAAATGTATTTTCTCTAGTCTTTAAAACTCATACGTCCTCTGTTGCTGAATCAATATTGTCAATTTGTTAAAGTCCGTTGTGCGTTCTTGGATGTGTTGCTGTGTTTTCAGGCTCGTACTGCAGGAAAATGGCCTCTGAAGTGGTATGCTCCAGAATGTATCAACTTCCACAAGTTCTCAAGCAAAAGTGACGTTTGGAGTTATGGGATCACCATGTGGGAGGCCTTTTCTTATGGAGGGAAACCCTACAAGGTATAATATATTTCTGCAGAGATGAGTGACAGGTAAACGTGAGCTATATTTAATCACAATTAGGTGATACAGAATTCCTCATATTGTTAACCTTTTGGAACAGAAAATGAAAGGTAATGAGGTGACGCGCTACATCGAGAGTGGAGGTCGCTTGGAGAGTCCACCAGCATGTCCAGAGAGAATGTACACGCTGATGAAAGAGTGCTGGACACACTCGTAAGAGAAAAAAACAACAAATGGTTTTCTTTGAGACAAACGTTGTGGTTGAGATTGTATACCTCCTCTTTTTGTAAGGCTTGAGGAGCGTCCTGACTTCAAGAAGGTCGAGGAGTCCATGAGGTCCTATCATTACTCCATATGTGGCAAGGCCAAGCTTGATGGAGCCACAGCAGCTGATGAGCCTACCAAACAGACAGAAAGGAGAAAATAAAAGGCACATTCTGCTGCACAAAGCATCCTTTCAACCAGTCATTAAACTCTCAAAACAAAGAGCGTTTTATGAGCGCATTGAGGAGCACTGACCTCCATGATGTAAATCGAAGCTCAGTGTTTCATGTAAGGAGGTTGTCTGTTCGTCTGTCATGGTTTGAATGTTAATGTCTTCACAGCGACGAATGAATTAATTATTTCTGTGGGGATTCTGGGTTCAGGGTGGTTTTTGTTCATTTGTATAGTTTTTACGTGTTTTTTCTTGTTACTTTGTTTTTCTCCCCTACATTTTCTTGCGTTTCCATTCCCAATGTTTTTCTTTTGTCAGCTTCTGCTCCTTTGTCCTGCCACTTCCACCTTCACCTGTTCCCTGTTACCATTAATCCACCTGTCCCCATCTGACATTGTGTTTCATGCTCTGTCGGATTTTCCTCCACGTTTTCTCAAGTTTTGATGATGTATCTTTTTGCTGCAGTGCTAGCCTCTGATTTTTGCATTACTTTTTGTGGCAGGTAAATATTTAAATTTTCATTGAGCTGCTCGAGCTGGTTTGCATTTCCTGTTTCCAAACTTTGACGACTTCTTTATTCAGGTATTTAGGAACTGCATGCTTGATTTTATAATCTTATTAAAAATACTGCCTTCACCTATAGGAAGTTGTCTTTTTAAGGTCAAATGAAGTAAATATAAAGTAAGTAAAAGATTAAAACTATGATTGCTCAATATTTTGCCAAATAGCCAAAAGCTTCACAAAAAATCTAAAACTAACATGAAGCTTAGCATAAAACAAGGATGGTGATATTTTTATACTCTGCAGGCTGTAGTGAGGTGGGGTGTGTTTAAACAAAATGGATAAATAGAAATAAAAACTTTCAGAGGGTTCTTTTTGTGTGTGCGCTGTTTTCAAAGATATGATGTCTGGTTTCAAACAGCATGATTTGGCTGTAATTTTTTTTTTTTTGCTTTAACATTTTTTCTCGTCTTTAATTAAAAACATTAAGCTCTGTGGTTTACTTTGTTGTGTTGACTCCCTGAAGCAGAGGAAGTGTGAAGCTATGCACAAAAGATTTCTGTCACGGTTGGACGGTGGTTGAGACCCAAATGCGAGCAGGACTCCAACAAGGTTACAAAAAAAAGGCGTTTTAATCACAAAAAGGCAACAATAACAAATGATGTCGGGGCAGCGATACTACTTACATTCGTAGGAGAAACATGAAATACCAAGGCACTAGCTCCCCTGCCTGAGATGCAGGAGAGCACAGTATTTAAAGGGGAGTCTCTAATTAAACACAATGCGTGGCACGTGAGAGTCATTAACTATCTGCACAGAGCAGGGCAGGTGCAGATCCCTACAGTATCCCCCCCTCTAATGCCTCTTTTCCACTGTCACAGTACAGATCAGATCAGTTTGGGTTGGTTCAGATCGGCTCGGGTCTGTTGCGTTTCCATGTACATTTCTGGACCAGCTCTGTAGGCGGGGACTAGAATCCAACTCATCTTACCACCTGGTGGCGGTAGTGCTCCCTTAAGCTACTTACTAGCCACCACTAAAGTATTAGAAGAAGAACACCCTGAAGGTTTTGTCACATGTTGTGGAAGAGATGTCATGCTCTGATGGAGTACCTCATGAGCTGTAACTTTAAAACCTGATTCATAATCCTACCTTCCTGCCTTCCCTGCCTGCTTTAAATCCATTGTTTTTCATTTTAGTATATATTTTTTACAATAAAGATGTATTAAAAATATCTTCACTTTTATTTGCAGATATGCACAAGGTTCATGTTAAAATTGCAAAACATCACACTGTGCTGTAATCTTTGAAACCGCTTTTACAATAGACTTGAAAACAGATTAAATTTTGTCTTTCATTAAATTTAAAAACATAAATTTATTACTTATTAATCTAAAAAAAGTTAATCTGGTCCTCTGGACATTCAAAAAACACAAACATTTGTTTATTATAAACTATTGTTTGTTTTGTGAATGTCCAGAGGACCAGACTTAACTTTAGATTTTTCTACCTGGATTATTGAGCAGCATCAGGATATTACTTAATAGTCAGTTGGTCTGTGAACACCATGGGGTCCTAGAAGAGGTGGCTGTTGATGTCCGTGCCTCCCTGGTAAAGATGCTGCTCCCACAACCCTGAAGCAGAAGAGGATGGATGGATGGATGGATGGATGGAGGAGGAGACCTTCAAACACAGCAGGAGTGGTCAGTTCAGGTGAACACCTGCCTGTTTGCTTCAGATCAGCTGTGCAAATCTCTGCAGGTTCAAATAAAAGGTGCACCAGGACTTTCAGCTGAATCTCTCAGACTACAGTTGTACGGCCGATAATTGACAACTGATAACTGTCTTTTCTGAATTTTTGACTGCGTCTCACTTCATCCTAGAACAAAACATTTATAACATAATAAAAATTGAGCAGATTCTAGTAATCTTTCCTTAGGATTCATTAAAGATTAAATGCAATTGGAAATTTTTCTCAACTTCCAGTATGAATTTAAACAAACACTATATGAACTTAACATTGTAAAATTTGTTTAGGAAATTTAATGTTCAAGGACACCACTTAAGAAAAGTTGTTTAATAGGAAAAGTAAGTGAAAAATGTAGAAAAATAAAATACTGCATCCAACTAATGATTGTGTATCTGTGTGTCCCTTGTCTCACGGGCTTCATCCAGAAGAAGACACAAGTGTTGTTCCTGCTGTGTCCGGTTCAGTTCTTCATGTTCAATCAGTGATGAAATAAGACTTTTCTTTACTGGACTCTTTTCTCTTGACTAGCAAGAAGAAAAAAGGTGGTTAATTCAAGATACTGTTTTTGAATAAATTCATAAAACAAAGAAAGGTGCTGCTAACAGCTACATTAATAAACTGATAAGAAAATGAAAAATAAATTGATTTAAAAATAATGAAAATAATGGATATATGAATCAGAAAGTATTATACAAATGCAGATATTCTTTGTCATTCGCACCACGTGGTACATGTGGTGGATCAAAATTATGTTCACAGGGTCCCAGTTACATCCAACAATAAAATATAAAACAGTAATAAGATCTAAGATATGAACTAAGAAAAACAACTAAATTTATGATAAGCTCTAATAGCATAAAAACATTAAACACAATACGCGAACAGCAGCACAGACATGAGTCTGTGTGAACAGACGAGCATGCATGAACACAGCAACATGAAACTGATCAGCAGCAACATGAAACTGATCAGCAGCAACATGTGATTCTTCACAGTGTTATATATTCATAAGGCTGCACAAACTCTAGTTCATGTTGCTGTTTGACGTATTGTTTTGTTTGTTTACTGCTATTAGTGCTTAGTGCTTTATTAGTAGATGTTTTTTAGTTGATATTTTTCTTAATTCATATCTTAGATCTTATTACTGTTTTACTTTTACATTTTGTTGTCTGTAACTGGGACCCTGTGTACAAAGTACATAATTTCATCCCAATTCAGTATTTATTCAACATTTAATTTTTTTACTTTAAAAATAATAAAAACAAGTCCTTATTGGCACAAATAAAGTGATGTGGAACATGTTGCATCTGTTCTTACCGAGCACAGAAGCTGCAGCGTTGTGCTGCTCTGTGAGGTGCAGCTGGGCTGTGATGGAGCTCTGTCGGGTGCAGACTCCTCTGATGGAGCTCTGTCGG